CCAACCATGGCCCCACGGCCGCCAGGTCCACCCACGGCAAGCTGCCACGGGAGAGGGACAGATGTGGTTGCTCTCTGACTCCCGACATCCACGATCCCAGCCCTGTGCAGGTCTGGGCGGGCTTGGGGAGGAGCAGAGCAGCTCTCTGAGTGCCTGCCTGCATCCCTCAACCTCACCACCATCAGAACCCTCTAATTTACTCCTGATACCTGATGCCACATTCCCTTCCAGGCGACTTCACCCATGGGACACTGTGCCCTGCGGATCACAGAATCAGACATCCCCATCGAGCTCGGCACTCTACCATATCCCAAGTACTGCTTGCTGGATCTGGGAGGGACTGGGATTACCCAGGACCCAGGATGGAGTGAACCAGCCCTCCAGTGCCCTTCTCAGCTACTCCTGGCTCCCTTCCCCAGCACTCAGCCCACCAGCGAGCGAGCTGATTCAGCTCATCAAAGACGATAAACGACCCATCAAAGCACACAAGAGGGGATGCTGCCCACAGGCAGAACCAGGGGGAGCAGCACTGCCCCTTGGCAGCCCCAGGTGTCCACCTCCCACAACGGGCAGCACCCCCAGGCCCCTGGGCACTCAGCCTCACCGGCTTGGTGGCCCCTTCTGCTGTCCCCTCGCTCCTCGTGGCCTCCTTGAGGCTTCGGCTTTTTGCAGGGACCGGCTGCCGGCTCTTGTCCTTGCCGCTCATCTCGACCTCCCCGATGTCCACCCCGCTGTCCTCGCTGAGGGTCTGCCCGCTGTCCGACAGCTGGGAGAGCGTGGAGGCTGGCGAGAGACGAGGGCTGTTAGCCAGGAGACTGGGCAGCACGGCTCTGCGGCCAGCCGAGCCCCCGCGGGGCCACGGACCAGGGCGAGGATATCTCAGCTGCTCCCAGGGCTGGGCAGGGTCCCTGGGATTTAACCTGGACTTAGAGCGGGGGGTCCCAAGGGGACCCCTCCTGAAGAGCCAAGCTGGGCACAGGGAGGGACAAGTGGCCTCAAACCCAGCTCCTGGATCCAGCCCAGATGCTGAACTGGGATGGAGGGAGAGGGTGAGGGGCATGGGGATCCTGCCAGAGACCAGTCTGAGCCAGCCCCTGCTCAGCACCAGGGGCTGGGAGGAGATGGGGACAGACCCCAGCGAAGAGGAGATGCTGGGTGGGAGCTTCCTCTCCTTCTGGGATGCAGGCTCTGGGTGCGGATGGGGACACTGCCTCTGGAAATGTCACTGCACTGTGACAGCTCCTGCGGAGAGGGATGAAGGTTTGGGAAATCGGCTCTGGGACTTGGAGGAGTTGGGGTCACACTGCTGACACCCCTCGGGCAGGATCCGGCCCCCGTTGGGTGCGAGAGGCTGGCACCCAGCCCGTCACCCATCACCTCCAGCTTAACCAACTAACTGCAGCAGGAGGACGGTGCCACAGGAGGGCGACAATGCCACTCACATCGCGTCCCCAGAGCCTGGATGCATTTCCAGCGGGGGCTCGGGGATGCTGTGGGTATCCCCAGCCCCAAGGGGTCTCAGCCCAAAGCAGAGCCCACCCTCCCGGGCACCCTCAGCACCCCAGGGCCACCCCTCCCCATCCCGCTGGACCGGAGCCATTGCCCAGGGACCTGCGGAGCCCAGCACGCTCCTCCCTCATTTCCACTTCTTTTTCCCAAGATATGCTCAGGATAAATCTGACCCCCAGGCTCTGCGTGGGAACAATTAGACTTTTTTTTTTTTTTTTTGCCCCAAATCTGGAGTTAATGGGAAAATCTCATAATTGCTTCTTTTTTTCTTTTAAAACGCCACTGGAAGTAGATTTTATGAACTAACAAAGCCCACAGAAGAGAGAGGCTGCAATCAGCTGCCTGCCAGAGCTTGGTCTTTAAGTGAAGGTCAGTCTGAATGGCACTGGAAGCCCAGGGAGGCTTTGAAGAGCGTGCTGAATGCTGATGGGGAGCTGGCTGCCCCGGCCCTGGGCCCCGCAGGTTTTCCAGCGTTGCCAAAAGCCAGGGCTGAGGGCTCTATCTCAGAAATTAATACCACTACTGCTGACAAGACTGCGGAAGGCTTTACGTGTTTTCTGGATTTTCACTTTTTTGCCAGGATGCTGTCAAGCTGTTTTCTGCAATTGAAAATTGATCTCGGAAATAAAGCAAACCAACACACAGTTTCCAAACGTTGCCACACCGATCCAGGCTCTGGGGCTTTTCCCCAACCTTATTAACCTGGAGTCTGAACCAAAATCCCAACGTTTGCCCCTGCAGCCCCTCCGTGGCAGGAGGGGTGAAGCCCTGCAACCAGGACTGCTGCTCAGGCAGGGACCTGCAGCCTGGTGCAAATCTTCTTCCAACTCCCCCAGTTCCTCCTCTTGAGGTCTGTCTCTTCTCCTGTAATACCCCGAGAGGTATTTTTCACCCCGATAACGTGACACCCACCTCTGGCCTGGGGCAAGGGCCTCACTTCATTGACGTCGGGCTCGCTGTTGGGCTGGTGCACCTCCACCATGATGAAA